TAAAAAAAAATCAGTTTGTATATAATATTTGGAGAAAATTAGTGTTCTTTCACCTGAGAATTTGGTTATTTCCCTGTTATTCCCGAAGGATATTTCCACTATGGCTTGACAGTTCTTTCGAATACTTGAAAGACATGTAACTTCCTTCTGGCTCTTCATCTTTCTGATGAGAAGTCGGCTCTGTCTTTCAAATCATTTTTCCTATACAGGGAAAACATGTTGCTTTTCTCTGGCTGCTTCCAATTTTATCTATCAACTATCTATCTATATCTATTTATCTCCAGAAAGCACATAGTCTCTCCAGAGAGATGGAGAGGGAGAAAATATCTCCCAGTGGAACATAGTCATGCTGCAGTCCCTTCTCCCTGATCCTGTTGGGATCATGGGCATGCATGCACACAGGCCCAGGCCCGGTGTGATTGCCAGTCATTGGGTTCAAGACTTGAACTGTGATTGGCCTTGTGGGGTCCAGCTCCCTTAACCACTAGGTCATGGGGCCAGCCCCTTTTTTCCTCCATTTCTTCATCACGTCAGGATTTTGGACACACATGTCCAGTGTGTTTTACAAGCTACTGGGGCTGGGATTCAAACTGCAGTTGCGATCTGGCTTTCAGTGCATAGCACTTAATTACTGTACTACAGGCTGGCCCAGCAATCAAAAGTTTTTCTGGTTTTCAAAAGTTTCACTATAATGAGTCTTGGTGTGGACTTCTTTAGGTTTATCCTGTTTGGAATTCCCTGAACTGCTTGATTTTATTCCTTTTGCCAGATTTGGGATGTTCTCCTTGGGTATTTGTTTAGCGCTGTCTTCTTTCTCTTCCCCTGAGATTCTGATGACACAATATGTGATTTTGTTTTTAATTTGCTAGAATTTGGGCCAGCAGGGGGCGCTGGATTCCCACATGGCCAATCGTGGTTTGAGTCCCAGACCCGGCAGCTTGCTTTTTCATTTTCCCTTTCTCTCTCTCTTTCACTCTGTCTCTCTTTGGTCAAATTAAAATAAATAAATAAGTAAAATTTGGTAAGGTGCATGTGGACTCACTGGAGAGAGAGGGAAAGTGAAAGCACTACCCATGGGGGATAGTCATGGCACAATCCCTTCTCCTTCACTTCTACGTCTAAGATTTGGGGCATGCACACACATGCACCTGGGTGTGTTTTTGTGTTTTGGGTGTGAAACTCAAACCACACAGTCACCACGTAGGATCCATCCTCTTTAACTACCCTGCCACTGCCTGGCATATTTTTTTATAGCTACTTCTCATTTAACGACCCACCTGTTCAACGACTACTTAGACTTATGACCAGTTCCATAACATTCTCAGTCTGTGTGAGTCTTGGGAATACCCTCTCTCAGTGTTTGTCTCATTGCCACAGTCAATTAGTATTCACTACACAAAAACATTTGCAATAGTATAAAACTACATATTTTGTGAATACTTTTTGTACAGATAGAATTATATTAATCTAGTGTGGTGTCATATGATCTATTGAAAAATACATACTCTGTGACACCAAAACACATCCCAAGATATCTGCCTTTAAAGCTCCTCACTTATTGACCAACTCACTTAATAACCTAGTCTTAGGAATAGAACTGAGTTAAGTGAGGAGCGTTTATGTATTTTATTTTGTTTTGTTTTGAGAGATTTTGCTATAGAGTGTGTGCGCTAGCTGGAGAGACAGAGAGAGACAGAGAGACAGAAAGCAAGAAATCACCCCCTCAGGGGGGATGGCCACACCACAATTCCTTCTCCTACATTATCCTTTCAGAATTCTGGGCATGCATGCACACATGCCCAGCAAGAGTGTTTTAGAAGCCTCCAGGTCTGGGACTCGAACCGTGGTCAACTATGTGGGAGTGCAGCCATGTAATCATTACGCTAACTGCTGGTCCCATGTTTTTTAAAGAAACTTCCAAACTTCCACAAGTAGTTGTGTTATTTGGCATTTCTACCTGCAGTGGTTGAGAGTTCTAGTTGCTTCACTTCTTATCAGCACTCAGTAGGGTCAGTCTTTTCAATATGAGACATTCTAATAATCTAGAAATTATGTCTTGTTATGTTTTAATTTGCATTTCCCTAATGATCAAAGATGTTAAGCATTTTTTCATGTGCTTTTTTGCCATCTGTTTATCTTTTTATTATTTATTTTTTGATAGGAAAAATAAAACTCATCTATTAATGTGAACTGAGAACTAACCACAGATCTCTATTTCCTCAGAGGCATTTCTATTTTGATAGTAGTACTAAAGGCACCATAAGAACAGCTGTTCTGGGCAAGTAGGTGGCAGAGAGGTCAAGGCACTAGATCCTACCTGGCCAGTTTCAGAGTTCAAGTCCTATACCCAGCAGATCAAGAATCACACTGTGTATGAATCATATGTGTATGCATGAGGCCCAAACCATTTTTCTTTTTAATACATGTTTTAAAGAATTATTTTTGTTTTGTACATTACTATTATTTTTTTATTTTTAAAGAGAGATGTTTGTTATAGGGTGTGCACACTCACCAGAGAGACAGAGAGAGACAGAAAGCAAGAAATCACCCTCCCCAGAGGGGATGGCCATGCTGCAATCTCTTCTTCTTCACTCCCCTGTCAGGATTTTGGGCATGCATGCACATGTGCCCAGTGTGAGTTTTTAAGCCTCCAGGTCTAGGGCTCAAACCATGACTGACTACATGAAAGTCCAGTGATGTAATCATAATGCCACCCACTGGTCCCTCATTATTATTATATTTTAATTTGACTAGAAAGAGACAGAGAGAGAGGGAAGGAAAGCGAGAAAGCAAGTTGCCAGGTCTGGGACTTGAACCATAGTCAGCCATGTGGGAGTCCAGCACCCTAACCACCACGCCACCTGCCAGTCCACATGTCCAAAACAGCAAAAACTAAAAGACAAGACAAAAACAGCCCTTCCCGATAGAACAAGATAAAGCCTTCTCTCTCCCAATGACTGGATCACATTTGGGCTATTATAAATCAAATGGGTCCATGTCTATAAATTGTACAAATAGCCTGTATTTCTAAACTAACTTTTGCTTTCAAGTAATTGTTTTTTTAATTAACTATTTTTGTTTACAAGAGTAATTAATGCTTCAGGTCACAATGCTTTGTTTGAAATTAAAAAAAAAAGGCATTAGGCCAAATATTCTTTTTTTTTTTTTCTGAGAGGTTTTTGCTATAAGGCATGTGCACTCACCAGAAAGACAGAGAGAGACAGAGAGCGAGAAATCACCCCCCGGGGGGGATGGCCACGCCACAATCTCTCCTCCTCCATTCTCCTCTTGGGATCTTGGGCATGCACGCACATGTGCCCAGCATGAGTTTAAGCCACCAGGTCCGAGACTTGAACTGTGTTCAACTACATGGGAGTCCAGTGACATAGCCATTGTGCCAACTTCTGGTCCCTATTCCGAATTCTTTATCAGACATTTCTGAGAGTTCCATGGTCCTGTCTGTAGATGAAGAGGAGTTACTCTTTTCCCTTGGGGGAAGGTGTTTTCTTGGTTTCTCATATTTCCTGTGCCCCTGTGGTGATTTCTGGTCATCTGGTGGGTTTCACGTTTCTTCCTAGTTCTTGAAGTTCAGTCTGAGCATTCAGAGGCATGTAGGAGGAGGTGATCTGCAATCTCAATGCTATTCTGTTTTTCTCCCTTTGTGCAGCAGCTTGAGTGGGAACTGAGGGGTACTCTGACCCTAATAGTATTCAGATGTTTGGCTACAGTCTGCCTCGACCTGTCTAGATACTCAGTGCATTGAGACTGAGCAGCAAAGTGGTGAAGGTAAAAGGAAGAGGGATAGAAAACAGAGAAAGAGAAACAAATTTTTTTCTTCAAATGAAAAAATTGTGGTGCGCGCATGCACCACGCAAAAGCAATCAGTGGTCCCCAGCCCCAGTGGTGGAGTCGTCTCTGAGGCCTGCTCTACTGCCTCTCCTAGATGGAAGGCAGGGAAGGTGAGAATGTAGCAAGAGAAAGGAGGACCCGAGAGCCAAGGAAATACTCTACCTTAAAGAATAAAAATTGTAATGAAAAGACAGAGACGAGGAGAAGCATGTAGGGGGACCCTACCACGTGTGAATGGGGTCGGAGGATGATGTCTCAGCAGAGAATCATTAGTTTAGTTCCTGAAAGCACTAGTTCTCAGCTCCAGTGGCAGAGTCTTCTGTGAGGCCTGCACTTTTTAAATTTGAAAATTTTAAAAGAATTATTTAATTTTATTTATCACCATTATTTTTTAAAAATTTGCTGTAGGGCACATGTGCAGACCAGAGAGACAGAGAGAGAAAGAGAAAGCAAGCCTCCAGGACCTTTGGGACTTGAACTGCGGTCAGCCATGTGAGAGTCCAGTGCCTTAATCACCACACCACCTGCTGGCCCTTCAAATGTGATTTTTTTTTTTTAGGTTTCTGCCATAGGGCGAATGCAATAGCCAGAAAGACAGAGGGAAACATTGAGAGAGAAAGTGAGAAATCATCCCCAGGGGGGAGGACTGAAATCCCTTCTCGTCCTTTCTCCCCCAGGGATTTGGGGCACAAACTCATGTGCATCTGGCATGAGTTTCAACCCACCAGGTCTGGGACTCATACCGTGGTCAGCCACGTGGGAGTCCAGCACCATAACCCCACACCACCTACTGGCCTCTTAAATGAGAATTTTAAAAGTTCTCAGTCTACATTGTTATTTCTGATTAGGAAAAGGTGCTGATTGTGTTATGTGACAAGATCAAGTTCGCACGCCTTTGGGTCTTTGTGTTTCTAAGGAACAGGGGGTCGCTTAGAGCTGGCACATTGTAGCCCGGAGCGGGAACTGGTGGTGTGGACTGGGGCGGAGAGAGTAACAAGAGTGCTGCTCTGACTGGTGGTGACTTACAGCCATCCCAGGCTCCGGGCAGGGTGGAGCAGGTAGCCTGTCATAAAGCCCCCCCAAGGCGTGATGTCACACACAGACACCACTGTCCCTGAGGGGGTGGTGTGACGGGACCCCTAGGTGAGCTCAGTGCTCTTCTCTGGCTTGGTCTGGAGCCTGAGAGGAGGGGGACTGGTCCGGGCTGCCTGGACCCTGACACGGTCCAGGATTCTCAGCAAACCACGAGCGTCTTCAGGGCGGGCATCTCCGGTGAGACCCGAGAGGCTGCCCTCAGTCAGCCACGCACGCAGGAGACGCTTGCCCGCTGGGCCCCAGCTGTTCTGCCTCCCTCCCTACTTGGCATGGCGCCTGCCCCTCCTCTCCTCTCCCTTAGGATCATTCTCCCCCCAACCCCCCAGAAAGAGCCCGACGGCCTCGCTCATGCCCAGTGGGAAGTGACTAGTGGAGCTTACTCTGAAGACGGGGCTCTCCGTGTCCTCAGGCGCAGGGTATTTGCTTCAAACCCTGCTCGGGGCACTCGGCATAGAAAGGAACCCACAGGAGTGTGACATGGAGTGTGACACTGTAGTGTGACTCCTGTAGCCCCTGAGCTCCTGCTGTGTCCCAGGCATGAGGCCAAGGACTGGGGGTTGACAGCGGAGAAGCCTGACGTGGTCCCCCAGGGTGCCCTGGCTTAGGGACGTGCCCAAGAACCCTGAGGAAGCCCACCGCTGAGCTCAGGTGGTCAGGGAAGCCTTCCCGCAGGCAGGGGGCAAGGACGCTGGGCACAGACCAGTCCCTGGGACAGCCCAAAGCGAGTGTCCAAGGCTGAGGCCCCGTGTCTGTTGTCACCAGTGTATGGGGAGGCGGGTGTGGAGGAGATGGCCGGGGGAGGCCTCCAGAAGAGATGAGTGCCCTGATGGAGCTGGGGGACACTGACATCTATGGAGTGGGAAGGAGGAAGACGCCAGGGCTGGAGGAGTGAGGAGGCCAGAGCAGAGGGCACTGGAGAGGGACTCGAACCATGGTCGGCCATGTAGGAGTTCAGCACCATTAACCACCACCCCTCCTGCTGCTCCCGCCATTGTCATTTTCCATTCCAGCTGGTCACCTACTCCTGGCGACTCTTTACACCAAGGTCAACAGAGCCACACACTCTCCCTCACCCATCCCCACCCCTCCCCTTCTGACTCTCTGAGACCCCCTCTGCAATGAGGGCAGCAGACCAGCGTGTGCCTGGGACTCAGGGTCCTGGAGGAATCCCGGAGCACTCCAGCTCCTGGTGCTAGCCCGCTGCCTCCTGGGTTTGGTGTCCACTATGACCGACAGCCCCTCCAGTGCCCCTGCCCCACCCTCTGGGCCAGCCCTGGGGTCCCAGGGCATGGGACGCTGCGACCATGCCCGCCTGTTCTTCCTAGACTGAAGATGGTGTTTGGTGCGTGCTGCCCGAGAGAGAGGTACGGTTGATGTGGGCCTTCTACGGACCCCACGCGACCAAGGCGGGGCACCTGACCATGGGCCTGGGAGGAGGGGAAAGTAGGACTCTCTGTCCTTTCCCCTGATTGTGTGTCCCTGGGGCTCGGAGTCAGGGTGAAAGAGCAAGCTCTGGGCAGCAGGAGTTCAGGGTGGAGGGCCTGTGTCTGGGGCTGGCACGGAGCACCCTTGAGTGTGTCATGGGCACGTGCATGTGTGACTGTCCTGGCAGTGCCACACCCTCTACTGCCTCAGAGGAGCGGTCCTAGAGAGGATGGCCATGGATTTAATTTCCAACCAGGCTGTGGGATCTGTCTGTCCAGAGCAGGGAGGGCTTTGGGAGGCTCTGGGGAAGAGCTGAGCCTGCATCGTGAGCACCTCTGAACATAGCAGGCCAGAGTGTGGGTGCCTGACTGGGCCTGGGGCTGGCCGCCAGCCAGGAGGGACCCAGTGAGCAGCTGTGCTAGGAAGGACACCCGGGGGCTCCTGGTGCCCAGGCCATGCAGGCACGAGTGGTGCAGTCGGGCCGAGCCCGTCGGGCTGACAGAGGACGGGTATGGCCTGGCAGAGCGGGTGGGGGCCTAGGGTGCAGAGGGCGGCCAGTCCTGCCCGCCAGGACCTGAGAGCTGCCCTCAGCCCTACTTCCTCTTGCAGACTCTGCCAGTCCCTGCTCGCAGTGCACCTCTTCATTCTGGCAGGTAGGGCTGGCGGGGCTGATGCCAGGACCCCCCGTCCCTGTCCCCAACTGCCCACAGGGGTTGGCCACATGCTCAGAGCCCAGGCTGTCCTTCTTTGTCTCTTCCCTCCTCTCTCACGGTGGTCCTGGGATTTGACCCAGGTCTAGCTGAGACCCCGCTCCTCCTCCCCAGCACAGGCCACCATACCCCACGCATTCTAAGTACTTCAGCGCCTTGCTTCATGTTGTCTGAAGCTGCGCCCCCTCGCACACGTTGTTAGTACCTACCGGTCTGACAACACGCAAGGATGTGGCTCCCGGGACGCCGGCAGCTGCCAGGTGCAGGGAGGGTGCGGCCCCACTCTCAGGCTTCTCCTGGTTTCCCTCGCCGCCTGCAGGAGCCGTGTACTACTGTTTCCAGGAGCCCGTGGGGAGAGCAGCCCCCCACCATGACGTGGCTGGGGACCTGGCACAGGTAGGGCCCTCTGGCTGTGGGGCCTAAGTCAAGGTCCTTGGCCCCGGTGGTCACTCCGATGGGTGCCTGACATGCATGTGTGTGAGGGTGAGCCCTGAGTCCCTGCGTTGTGTCAGGACAGACAGCCCTCTCCCCACCGTGGGCGAGCTGCATGGCTGCCTCAGGTCTCTGTGGTAGCCCAGAGCAAACAAGAGCAGAGGGCCGGTGCCATGCGTGGCCTGGAATGAGGCCGACATTGGCATGTGCACGGTGGGACTGCATGGCCTCCCTGAGGTCCCTGGTCCCAGAGCCTGTGGAGAGGCTTCCCTGCTGCGGCGGGTCAGAACCAGATGGACGCACAGCCCCTGTGGGCACGCAGCGGGCAGGTGCTGCCACCGGCTGCTTCCCTCACGGCCGCCAGGCAGCTCCCACTTCGTGGGCAGGGAAGCTCGGCAATGAGAGGGACGGTGCCCAGAGCCGGGCCACCAGGTGCCGGGAGAGAGCCACACACTGCTCTCTGCAAGCCTGCTGCTCCCATCCCAGGCCACTCGGATCGGGGGACAAGGTTGTTAGTGACGCAGCAACAGCTCCAGGTTGTGGGCTCCGTCCCCTGGGAGTGACTGGCTGGAGATGGCTGACAGGTGCCTTGGAGATTGCCAAGCTCCACTTTAATGTCTTTTTAAAAAAGCAACCTAGTTTCCATTTTTAAAATGTATAAGGACTTAAGACAAAGTACCTGCTGCCTTTGGAACTTCCCCTCTTCACCCCTGAGGCCCACAGCCCAAGTGGGGTCTCTCTAGCTCCTAACCTTTGCAGCTGTAGCCTTGAGTTTTGCTTCGCAATTTGGGAAAGGATCATTTCCCACCCGGCTGTTTCTTGATTTCTCATACTGCCACCATCGGGGCCATCCGGCGAGGGAAGGAGAGGTTGCCATAACAACTGCATACCTTCCCCTGCACTCATGCCATCACACCAGGGTCCGTAAATTCCCAAATTATATTAGGTTTTTGCCATAGGCACATGTACTTGCCAGAGAGAGACAGAGACAAAGACAGAGAAATCACCTCACAAGGGGAATGGCCACACCACAATCCCTTCTCCCTGTTCTCTTTCCGGGAATATGTGCACACACATGCATATGCACCCTGTGTAATCTTCAAGCCACCAGGTCTGAGACTCAAACTGTGCTTGACCATAGGGGAGCACACTGCCTTAGCCACCATGCCACCTGCTGTAATGGCTTTGTATTTTCTTTTATAACTATTTACTTAATTCTATTCATTCATTCATTTATGTTCATTTGACCAGAGAGAGACACAGAGGAAAAGTGAGCAAGCAAGCTGCCAGGTCCAGGACTTGAACTATGGTTGGTCATGTGGGAGTGTCCAGCACCTTAACCACCACACCACCTGCTGGCCCCCGGCTTTGTATTTTTCTGATTTTGTTTTTTACGGTGTTTGCCATAGTGCATGTGCACTGGCAGGAGAGAGGGAAAGCAGAAATCATGCCACACCACAAGCAATGGCCACACCACAACCTCTTCCTCCATTCTTCTCTCAGGATTTTAGGGATGTGCACACATGTTCCCAGCATGATTTGAACTGTGGTCAGAATCCAGCACTTTACCCACTACATCACCTGCTGACCCCTGTGCACCTTTACTGTACTTTTGTTTTTTAAATTTACTATAGGGTGCATGCTGCTCACCAGAGCGGGACAGAGAGAGAGAGAGTCAGAAAGAAAGTCTGCCGTGTGGGAGACCAGTGTCTGGACCACTATATTATCTGCTAGCTGTCCCCTCTTTTTTTAAAGATTTATTTATTTTTATCTTATTTTATTTATTATCATTATTCTTCGATTTTGAACAGAGAGAAAGGAAGAGTGAGAAAGGAAACCTCCAGGTCAGGATTTGAACCGTGGTTAGCCATGTGGGAGTCCAGTGCTTCAACCACCACACCACCTGCTGGCCCTGCCCCCCCCCTTTTAAATTGCCAAAGGGCACGTAAGTTTGCCAGAGAGAGAGAGAAAAAGCACCCTCCATTGGTCATGGTCACACCACAGTCCCTTCTCCATTGCTCCATTCTGTTGGGATTTGGGGCCAGCATGTAGGCACGCTGCTGTTTATCACGCTAGCTGGTTCACATGGTCGGCCGTGTAGGATCCAGTTCTCTTAACTACTCGGCAATGGGGGCCAGACTCTTTAATTTCCTAAGTTTTTTTTTTTTTTTTTCCTACTAGAGAGGGACAGAGAGAGAGAGAGAGAGAGAAGTGAGAAAATAAGCCACCAGGTCCAGGACTTGAACCGCGTTTGACCATGTAGGAGTTCCTAACCACCACACCACCTGCCAGCCCCTCGTTTTTATCTGTACCTACAATTAGGTTTTCTGAGATCTGCCACAAAAAGAAAGCTCCTCGTTCAGCTGACATCGTGGTATTCAGCCAAGCAAATTCACATGATAGGCCTGAGCTGAATTCCTGGCAAAACTTAAGGGCCATGTAAAATGACATTTGAAAAAAAAATTAGTTTTATTTATTGTTATTTTAAAATTTCTTGTAGGGCATAGGTAAGAGAGAGTGAGAGAGAGAGAGAAAGTGAGAGAGAGGAAAAAAGCTGCCAGGTCCGGGACATGAACCTTGGCCAGCCATGCACAAGTACAATGACCTAACCACCTTGCCACCCATGCCACCTGCCAGCCCCATGCGCAGTGACTTTTAATATTTTTTACAGTAATATAGTTGAATTAATTATACTTAAAGACAAAACATTAGGGGGACCAGCAGGTGGCGTGGTGGTTAAGGCGCTGGACACTCCCACATGACTGACCATGGTTTGAGTCCCGGACCTACCTGGTGGCTTGGTTTCTCACTTTCCCTCTGTGTGTGTGTGTGTGTGTGTGTGTGCGGGTCACTTTCCCTGTGTGTGTGTGTGTGTGTGTGTGTGTCTATCTCTGATCAAAAAACAAACAAACAAGCAAGCAAACAAAAAAAACTAATGAGCAAATAAAATTAAATAAAAATAATTTTAAAAAAAGACAAAACATGAGGAAAAGAAGCAGAAAAGCCAAACAACATACAAGGAGGGGAATCGCAATGCCTTAAGTGACTCACTAGGTTACTGCTGGGATGGAGGTCCAGGAGGCCGAAGCAGGAGGGTAAAAAGTCCACGGTCAAGCCAGCCTGGACAACATGGTGACAACCTTCGAGAGAGCCAGGTGTGCTGTGGCCGGACTCTCAGCTACTCAGGAAGCTGAGGCAGAAGGACAGCAACTTGGCGAAGTCTTGTCTTTAAAAAAATGAAGAGAAATCTCGCGATACACTTAGACGAATCTGGTGGTGAAGACCAGGCTGACGTGGTCTTGGAGGCACATCCCGAGGGCCTGCCGTCTGCTGCCTGCATCGACGGGCTGCCCCGGAGGCCTGCTGTCCCGCTGTCCCCAGAGGTCTCTGTTCTCTGTGGCTCTGGGAGCACTTCCCTTCTCTTCGTGAAGACCCTCATCGACTTCCAGATTTGGAGGTTGGTGTCGAGAAGTCGATGAAAGCTGAGCTCCAAAATCTGAGACGTTTTCCTTGTTTCTCTGGAAGCTTTAGGGTCTTTAGACCCCACCAGGTTCTAAGAGGCACCACTGCCACCCTCGGGTGGGTCCTTCACCCCTAATTCTGTCATTGGGTGATTGCTTCCCTTCTGGAGCTCATGTCCCTCATCTCTGGCAAACCGTCCCGAGAAGGGGTGACTGTGTGGCCTCCCCCCGGGCGCAGCGCGCCACCTGGGCTCTCCGGGACAGTTTGTTCTTGGGGCGCCGCACCTCATCTCTCGCTGTGTTCTGGGAAAGGCTCTTTTCCACTGTAACTTCTAACCATGATTGGATGTCGCACGGCATTTTCCCGTGGCTCCTTGTCTCACTGCAGGCTGCAGTGGGTGGGACATAGGCGGGAGGCCTGTGCTGGCTCCGGACGCAGTGTCCGCTCTATGCAGATGCGCCCGAGTTCTCTGTGCGTTTTGGAGGTGGCCCTTAACCCTTGGAGCTCTCATCGCGGGGTATCGGCCCATGCGGGCTCTGGTAGCCGCTCACCTCCCTCCTTCTCTCCCTCTTGGCCCTGCAGCACTTAGGGGAGACCCCGAG